ACACCGTCCTTCAGGGTCTGTCCTCTTCTCCCCGCTCAACCTGCAGCCAGGTTCAAGCCACCAGTTCCCTTCATCCAAACGTGCCTTTTCTTAGCTCTTGCTCGGCTACTTGTCCCCCGGGATGGCCGGACACACCAGCCAGCCTGCCGAGAGCGGGAAGCCAGGAGGACAGCTGCTTTTGGGGCTGGAACAGAAGGACCTGAGGGGCGACCGTTTCTCCAGCCCCGCTTCAAACGCAAACATTCCACAGGGATGGTGGGACCCGCACCCCCGGCACAGGCAGGAGCAGACAGCGCATTAAATAACCCCCATCTCATCGCTCAGAGCCCGCTGCGCCCTGCTTGCGCTGACCCCGTTTGACAGGAGCTTCTGCTGCCACAGCAATTTGTTTAAAAGGGGATTAAGCGTTCATAAGTGGAAAGCAATAGAAGATTACCAGGGAAACAATGGGTTGGTTGCCTCGGTGAGAGCCTTCAGTGCCTGTTGACAGCCATCCTTGCAGGGCTCCTCACCAAGCTGAGCCCATGTCACCGCATGTTTTAACTCTTTGAGGGGAGTTTTCTTGCTGGAAAGGGAGAGGCGTTCTTTGGGCCACGCAGCCTTCCATGAGTAGGGCAGAGGCTTTTCTTGTGCCGCTTCTACGGAGCGCTTGCAGCTGGTTTGGCTGCCTTAAATACTCCCAGGATGCTTGGAAATGGCTCTCTCACTCCTCTTCCTCGTGCTACGGATGCTCTGACAGTCACTCACTGGCCCGCTCGCTATTAACTCCCCAAAGGCACCAAAGCAGACGGATGTTAACTCTTACAAAGAAGGTGGCCTGGTGCACCCGGGCACCCGCAGCTGTGCCACTGCCTCTTTTCATGCCACTTTTGTTCTGAAGTGCTCACGTGACAGTGATCTATATGGCTGCTCTCATGCTTGAGGGTAATAAAATTATTTCCAGAGCCAGGAAGTGTCTAAGTGCGGTGCTTGATGGCTCTAAGTCTGTGCTGAGAAGGGCTGACTGCCCACGAGGCGAGGAGGACCACTCCAGGGCTGCCTGGCAAAGCGCTCTGCCAGCCTGAACGACAGCCAAGCCCCTTCTCATCCACCCAGTGTATCCCAAATTGCCAATCCAGCCACCTCCAGCCAAGCACAGCGCCCGGCGAGGACTGTCACGCTAAAGATACCGGTTCCCAGTGCCTGCCCCAAAGAACGCGTGGGGCAGAACAGACGAGCTGCTGTATCTGACTGGGGAAATGTCACTGAATGCAGAACAACTCATCCCTCCCTTCCCCGACAGCCCGAAGTCGTAGCTACGAGAAAAATCCTGTAGACCTTGGGAGGGTTAACCTGCAGCACGGGGCACGTACTGCTGCCATCTAACGGAAAGCAGTGTTTAAAAGAGGCGATTTCAGGTTAGGTTGCCAGGCAGAGCACGCAATTTTCTAGGGCTTTATCCAGCCTATCCTGTCAGGCATTATTTCATCTCAAAGCCTCACGGCACTCCTGCAAAATATAAAGCAAAGGGCTTATTCACATTTGTAAAGCAGGTGGGAGGGATGACCGAGGGCAGCAGGAGAAGGACTGAGGACCAATGGTGGCAGGAGAAGGGGGTTGGAGGACCGAGGGTGGCAGGGAGGACCGAGGGGGGCAGGAGAAGGGGGTTGGAGGACCGAGGGCGGCAGGAGAAGCGGGATGGAGGACCGAGGGCGGCAGGAGAAGCGGGATGGAGGACCGAGGGCGGCAGGAGAAGCGCACTGTGATGCCCTCCAGGCCACAGCTGTCCTTCCTCCCTTCTGTACTATATGGACTCGGGATCCAAACAAAACGAGCCAGTAACTTTTAAGTTTAGTAAAATCATTTATATACACTGATGCGTAATATTTACAATATAATACTGATCCAAAATAAACTAACATATTACAGGTAACACTGAAAAGGAGAAATGAAAACATTTTCATACGCAGAAGTTAAACATGGCATATGAGGACAGACTCAGATTTCCAAAAGAAAAACCTGAAGTTATGACAGCAAAACTTGGACATGTTGCTATTTCCAATTGAAAACTCTTTTGCCTAGTCAAGTTCTTCTAACTTGTTTATATATATATAGCTTAAAATAATCAAGTAACAGGAGAAGTCAGATATACATAAAATTTTGAAAAGGTCAAATGATTTCAGAGATTTTTCTCTTAAATAAAATTCTAAAAAAAACCCAACCCAACCCTACAGAGCTTTCTCATATCCTTTTAGTGTTTGTCCAAAGAATGTCTTCTTTGATGACACACGACCCTTCCATCTCAAGATATTTACAATATTCACAGTCTGCTATAAAGGATCAGTAGATCTATTACCAAGTAAAACCTTATATAATCAAGACAAGGTATCTTGCATTTATGTCAACTGAAAAATAAAAAACACAGGAAGGAGAAAGTCAAATACTACTTTAAAATATGCAAATGAATCCATTAAAGTGTATTTAATTTTGAAACCTAAACCATCACTTTTTAAAGAGTAAAATAATCAACTTTCTCATGGAAATAAAACCATTTGACCTTGAATCTTCAAATTGTGTGTTCTCCATCTGTCCCTCCCTACCTCCATTTTAGATCAGGTCATTCTTGTTTATCACAGACAATAAAATCTATAGTAAACCCATAAAAAGCAGTTCCTTATTCACAAAAGCCTTTAGAAATTTGACTTCCCTCCAGCCACCCAAATCCTTCACGGTCCGTTGCAGACATACCCGTCTCACTACCAGGAAGAGTTTGAAATTGCTCTGGGGCAGAAGTTAAGGGAGGATGAGGAGAGGAGGGACCCTCTAACGCACAGTCGGATCCCACCTTCTCCGCTTATTTCCGAGCTGCCTCGGATGGCGGCCAGCAGCAGTTGCTCTCGCACCCCAAAGCGCTCCCCGCTGCACCAAACGCACGCTGGAACTGCCCAATCTCATCCATTTTTCTGCTACCGAGTTCTGGTTCCCAAGAAACCACCCCAGTATTTTCCTCCTCGGAGGGCAGAGTTGCAAAGCGCTTTCGCGGGGAGTATTTTTTTTGCACTCCCATTCAAGCAAAGGCGATTTCCTTGTTTATTTCTCTATTTGCCACGCTTAAAGGTTCCGAAACAATGAGATTTCCCAGAAAAAAACCCACAGATTTCAAGTTAAAAAGGAAACGATCTATTACACTTAGAGCTTGTGTGAATGTTGCCGTGACCTAGAATTTAGGGCAAGGACAGAAACGCATATAGTAGGGCCTGCAAACTCGCTGATGCTACCACGAAATTACAAATACTCTTCTCTCGCTAAATCTCCACAGTCGCCACCAGTACATGTCAGTGCACAAATATTCCACGTAGTGTCAGAGGTACAGTTCTGGCTTGCACAAAACCTCCCCGTTTCCATCGAAGCGACGGGTAAGTAGGGACTGTGGTTTTTACTCTGCAATAAATCAGGCATCGGAAAACTGTCGACGGGATTACAAGAACGCTGACAAGGTGCTGACGAAGAACGGGAAATGAAGTGTCTCCTTCATGTAGAAAAACTAAGTCGCTGTTTACAAAATTTTATAGAAAGAGTCAGACACTGGTTTGCCATCCGAGCGAAAGGTTGCAAGGAAGTCTGGTACAGAACAAAGACCAAAAGAAAAAGAAAAAAAAAAAAGAACAAGGCTGGACTGCCACGAGAGTAAATTGGGAGATTCATGGCTCAGGTTTGTAAATGTAAACCCAAAATTAATGAGCTATGAAATACAACAATAGTGTTCAAGAGTCATTACTAATAGCCCTGAATTGGCACTTCAGTCTGCAGACCAAACTCATTCAACGTCTGCACAGGTTTAGTACCAAAATATCTCTATAAAAAGCCTTCAACCAGTCTCAAAAGAAAGAAGAGCG